GTTTAGCCAATACTTCGGCATGACTATCTTGAACCAATTCTCCTAATTTACTAAGTTTACTTTGTGGTAGGCATTTCAATCCGCTTCTAATAATTTGGTTCGATCACGTGAGAAGGAGGTTCATTAATATATAAAGGTGATGATTAAATAAAAATTTACCCAAGTGAAATACACGTCATATCATATTCTCCGGTATCTGTAAAATAATCCTGCATATGAATACCTTAATATCACATTCATCAAATCTTCATAATTATTTACCTGAAATATGACAGGCAATAATACCAACAAGAACGGTCCATTCAAATTTATGTTGAATTCCTATAGGTTTATCGGAATTATTTTTTGACAATGATTTATATGTTCTTTGACAAGTTAAGGATATTTCAGATATAGTATTTGAATTAGAAAATAATGCCATTTTTACTTTTGTTAACCAATTTTTTAAGTCCATCTTTAATTTTTTCGATGCCACATAGAGAACTTTTCATCGTGATTGGCCTATTTTACTTAAAATTCTATTGGTTGATAAAGTCACATGATTTCTTAATTAGTTAACCAAAAAAAAATTTTATAAAATTGTTTTTTTTATTATCCATTTATAGAATTATTTATAGAAAATTGACTAATTATAATCATATGGAAACGTTTCCAGTAAAATCAATTCATGAGGCATAGTAAATCATATGATCCGTAATGTGATTTTACTGGAAATGCTTCCATATGATACCAGTGAAAATCATCACTAGTGATAAACAGCAAATTTCTTATTTATATTTTATTGCCTATACTTTAGAATAACATTTTCCTAATAATGTATTTATTTATTAAAGCATTTACAACTTTTTCAAATTAATATTATTATTAGATTTAGCAACATCTAATTTATTTACATTTTTATTTGTAATTATCTTTTTAAAATTTCTAAAAAGCCTTATAAATTATTTTTAATTTAACTTATAAGAAAATCAATATAATATTAATATTGACTTTCTAACTTAAATAAAAAAATATTTGAAATAATAATAATGAAAAAAATAACCTACTTCATATAATTTACATAAATTATAATATCTATTTTTTCAGAAAGAATACTTTATTTAAAACTATTAGTAATATCTTTAATATCAACTTTAACTTAATATTAAAAAGTATATATTTGAATTTAATAAAATAACCTTTCATCTGTAAAGAAATTTAATAAAAAGTAGATTGTGATCTTTTTAACCACAATCTATTTAGTTCAGGTTATGACATCACCATTATACTATCATTAACTAATAGTTATAATATTATTTACTTATAATTATAATATTATTTATGTATAATTATAATATTATCTATTTATTATAATACTATTTACTTATATTAGTATTATAATTTAATAGTGATTTTATAATTCAATAGTGATAATTTTCTTGAGTATCTATAGCTTTTTATCATTAAGAAACTATTTTCTTATTGACTCAATTCTGTAATCTTTTTATTATTAAGGAACTGTTCTTATGTTTATATTGCTTTATAGTTTTTTTTATTACTAAGAAATATAAATGCATTTATTTAGCCTTATGATCTTTTTATTACTAAACATAAGTTAACAATAATGCTATTTTAATTGCATTTGATTGCCATACTATTTATCTAAATCGTTAAATAATTATATTAGATAGGTCAGATGGTATAATTAGGATTCCTCAAAATTAAATCAAATATTAAAGCAGTTTGAATTTAATTTGAATTTTTCAAATCAAATTAAATTAATCGAATTATACTCAAATATTTGATCAAATCAAATTTAATTAATTTAAATTTGATCAAATCAAATCAAATTAAATTAAATATTTGTTGAATCAAATCAAATCAATTCAAATATGATAATGATATATTAAAACTTTAGAATAATTTTATTTTAATTAAGAAAACTATTAGTAATATATATTAAAAAATTTTAAAGATAGCTTTTATAAAATAAATTAGTAACAGGCAAATTTTTACTAAGAAAACAGATTTTATTAAAAAACTTAATAATAATCACTATTGTAGCTTTAGTTCAGTTTTACTAAAAAAAATTAGTAATAATCATTATCTCTTAATCTATATGCTGTCACGAGCATATTTACCTGCAAAAATTCTGAAATTTTAACTTTCATCAAAAAATTTAATGTGCATTACAAATTATGATGATCAATATATTTTTGAATATACAGGAATTTGGATTTTACGCTAGTAATGTTTTTTTTATTTAAATAAAATAAATGAAGTTTACTACAAACTAAAATAATTCAATTATTTATGAAATTAAAAATTTTGCATAATTTTTCATTTATACATATAAATTTCTTTATAAATAAAAATTAGCTATTTATACCTTAAGAAAAGTTTGTAAAGCTATCAAATCTATGTAATTTTTATTAATAATATTTTAATTTGATATGTACAGCTTCAATTTTAATATGTAGCAAAAAAATACTAATTTATTCTTCAAAATTATAAAAGTCTTTAAAATATGTTTAATGACTTTTGTTACAACATAATGGAGCGTTACATTTGATATACTAATAATTTGACTGAAACAAATTTTGCAAAGCTGTTCCAGTATTTTTTATGCTGATAGCGACACCATAAATAAGCCTTCCTCTTCTCTCTGTATTTCACATAGTGCTTATTACCAGTTAATCGACACAATGGTAATTAAATGAACTTGAAATATGAATTTTTTTAGCACTTTTATCAAGCATCTTTCCTATACTAGCTAATTAGATATCACTATTACTATGAGTGGTTCTTTTTGTATTATCATTATTTAATGAATCCTTAATTAATTCATGAATTAAATCTAATCTAAAACTTTTATGTTTTGACTTATTCCAAGCTTTTTTTCGATGATGTATGAATTGATAATTGAAGTATTTAATATCCAAAAAAATAGTGGTATCCAGGTTCAAGATACAGCTAATTGTATAAAATAGTAGCTTCGTAATTGGTCTGCTACATTCACGCTACCCATATTATGATTATAGTCATTAATTATTGTAAGTATTGGTATAGTTTTATAAGAGAACCCTTAAAATACTTCTCTAACTTTTTTATTATTCAAGCTCATCTCTCTAGGTCTTCTACGATCCTTAAAACTCTACTTCCTTCTCCATTAATAATATGTATGATATTAAGCATTGTTACAGAACTATTATCCATCTATAATACTACTAATACATTGTCAATAACAGTACTAGTTAGAAAATCCCAATCATTTGCTTTATCCTTTTCTTTTTTTAATACTACAGGAAATCTTGCTATATTTATCCTAACTATATCATATACACCAAAGCCTTTAACAGCAGAAATAAATATAAATTTATACTTGAAAAGTAATTATCCATATAAATGTTGAAAGATTTTTGGGATGGTAATTGATTTACTAAATGAAACACTTCAGAATCAGTTTTGTTAACATTTTCAACAATTTCAACATTAGATGGATTAATTCTTGAGGTGAACATGAAAGTATATGTATATCTAGATTCACATAAGGATAATATTTTATACCCTAAGAGGTCAGCTTATTTTTTATCTGAAATGTGTGAGCACTTCTTCCAGAAAATCAGGCAATCATTTTATTAACAATCACATTTGATGCAGGAATATAAAGATTTTTTGACATACTACGAACATGTATCACCAAGGGCTCTACTTAGAAAAGAAATTTGGCTGTTAAGTGATATCTGATATATGAAGGTATCTTTTAATGTAATTTAAAAAAAAAGTTAAATAAATAAATAAAAATTTAAATTTAACAATAGTAAGTAATAATTTCAGTATAGTAACTTATCTGTTGAAATCAAACTAAACTCATTAATTTTGTAATACTATGACTTGGATAAATTTCATCATTTTTCCAATAATCCTCGACTGATGGAAAATTAAACATACCTATATATATGACTATAGCTAACCATACTTTTAATTCACCAATAGTTAATTCTTTCCAATTTCAACTGCTTTTAGATAAATCTCCTTTTTTAGCTCTATGATAATAAACGTAAATATTTATGTTTTAGATAATAGATTTAAGTTGTTATGTTGAAAATTTGAGAAAAAATCATGTATGGAGTTGAGTTTTCAGATAAATTTTTTACACTCAAGTCATGTAATTAATAGGCATGCTGAAAGGATATAAATTATGTAAATTCAAGCAATTCATTATTATTATTTTTTTTATTAGAATTATCTTCATAACTATTATCTTCATCTACCAAATCCCTCTTTCGAGTAAACTGACAAATGTAATGTTCATCAATATCCTCTTCATTAAATTGTTCAGACATTATTAGAGCCTTTAAAATATGCATAAGAAAAAAAAATCAAGATTTAATTATCATTTTTTTGTGTAATTTATGTAATGCAATGAAGTACAAGTATAAACAATAAATTTTGCAGCAAATTTGCCTGCATAATTATCACACGCAGGTAAATTTACCTGTATTACATGTGCTATAATAAAATTAATATTTGGTAGTGATGATGCAATTGGTAATTTTAAGTTCACAGGCAAATTTGCCTGCAATTTTGTGATATATATTATACAAGTTGTATTCTAAACATCTGCAGTTATATATTTTAATAATTCTTAATAACAAAAATTTAAATTAAGAAGTTTGCAGGCAAATTTGCCTGTGATATACACAGGTCGAATAAAGGGCTATCAGGTGATCATTGATCACCTGATAGCCTTTTTTTTCACTGGATCCAGTCTGAAAGAAGTCTGATGACTCTGCATGATGTCTAACTGGTTCTTGACGCGTATCAGGAACTATTTATGGAACTATTGGGTTGGCATTTTTCAGATAAGTATCGGATAAATTTAGGGTGAATATCAGAAGGAACATCGGGCATCCTAATATAACCTGATATGTCTAATAAATCAGGTATGTATCATTTATATAAGAAACCCGATGTTTAACCAATTTTTTATATATATAATTAGTATTTCATTCATAAAATTTTGCAATATGTAATATTTCACTTTTATTTAATATTATATAATAAATAGAATAATAGCAAATTATACAAATATTATTATTACATGCATTGTTACTTTTTTATTATACGCTATTAATAATAAATAATATAATACGCTAATTAATAAATAAATAAAATAAATAAATAAAATGTTATTAATAAATATACACAATAATTCAATTGTTACGTTATTAATTAAATACAATGCATTCTATATGCGAAAATAAATAAAAATAAACAATTAATTATATAAATTATATAAATAAAATAAATAAACAAATAAGAATTTACTTATTATTTATCTATTTGGACCGATACGAAGATAAAATTGTCCATTGCGAAGCGTTGTTCAGTGGCTTAGAGTTGTCTGCATATGTATTGTCACCATATCACCTTTTCCTG